TTCCAAGGTATTCTGTACATATTTTCTCCTCAATTCATCTCGATATAAACACTTGATTTCTCGATTATCAAATTTCGTTAAATTAATACAAAGTTCATTTAAAAATCAGAATCTGATTAAAATATTTCTTTTTCAACAAATATCTCGTCTATATTGTTTGCTTTGCTAAAACGAAGGTTAAACCTTTCAGTACATTTTATTCCACCAAACTGGCATTTTTTGGATGAGAAAAGAAAAACATGCGACATAAATTCACGATTTACGGTCCCGAATTCAGCATTATCAATCACAGAGTAACTCGGGAAAGAAAAATGAAAACTAATTTCTGAATTTAAATATCAATACAACTGACAGAAGCATAAAATATATCGGCAAATCGATAATACCCATAAATAAGATGCGTGTGATGAATTTGAGTATTGAATATTTCTGAATATCATCGGTTTGAAATTTCTGAAATGATGCAAATGTATATGGCAGAGATAAGAAGCACACGTATTTAACAGTATCGGCCTTCCGGATAAGCAGCATATTTAACAGTGCCTGCGCTTATGTTTGCTCTATTTTTAAATCGGCTAATATTTCTTGTCACGAAGTTTGCTTTTCTTTCGAATGAAAAAAAAGGAATTCTAAAATAACCAAATATTGCAAATCATCGGCATTCAGTTCACTCAGGGGTTCTATATTGTCATCAGGAACAAACGCATACAACTTCATCTCAATTTCATCGTTGCACATTTTAATGTGTAAGTCCAATTAAATATGATTTTATGTCCGTTTATACAATGAATCAATAAATCGAAAAACTATCGAAATTTAGTTGAATTTCCTGCAGAGAAATTATAATTATCATTTACCACCTTCGGAAAGTTTTAATGTTTCGTGAAAAACAAAAAAAGTACGACTATAATTTCTTCTTAAATTCAAAAAAAATTCGCAAATTTAACTCAACCAAAATACTTTTTAATTTAATATATAAAGAGTGCAAAAATTTGCATACTTTTAAATTTTAGAAATATGCGCTATATTCTGAAGTTTCATAAATACCAGGTGGCTTTTATGCAAATTATGACAAAATTACGCTATGATTTGCTATGAAACTTCTAATCATTAATGTATTTTTAGATATTTCGCAATACCGTTTTGCTGGATTTTGAAATGTAACTGGTGTTCAGGTTTAGAAATATGCTTGATGATGCATCCGAAGTTATTAGGGACGTATTAGGGACGTTGAATCTGAAGTTATGAGAATGCATGAATGGATGAAATGACATTATATGCCTTTGTTGTTGTTTGAATGAGATGAATGCCTAGAATTTTCGACATATTTTAATCCAAATTGTAAAGCTTGTATTTCTCAATTTGCAGTCTTTTGTCTGTGATACAAGATGAATTTCTAATGCTTTCCAGATAACAATACGAGGTGAGATATCTGAATTGATACCATACCGTTACTGCAATAATCTGTGATCACACATTTTAACTTCAACAATTTATATTTTTCAGTTTGTTATATTATGTTTTCAATTTCATATTTTGTATTTCGCTGTTCCTTCGCTATTTTAACAAAAATTGTTACAAATTCATTTGGTCATAAGACATTTATACCTGAAATGTAACTAGCATTTTTTTTTCAATTTATGGCTACAATTTCTTACTTGAGGTTAAAACTTCGACATTTTGATATTTTAGTTTAACATTTCTAAAATTGGTCCTTTGCAAGCATCTCATCATCATTACTTAAATCGTTTAAAATACTAAATTTTCCGAAAGAAACCCATTTTAGAAGTACTTACATGGTCAAATATTAGCTATTGAATAAGTATCAATTAATGATTATAACTTCCTTATCCTCTTCTTTCATATTAGAAAAAAGAAATTGAAAAAAGAAAATTTTCACTAATTTCAGAGGATTTTTCGACTCGTTGATTCACTGTATAGGAAGGCATAAAATCATTTGATTGGACTTACAGATCAAAATAAATATATGAATTGAATGCGGACGATTTGTAATATTTGGTTATATTTCAAAATTCTTTTCTTTCATTTCGAAAAAAGACAAACTTGATGACATTATTTCGATAAGCACAACCATAAAAAAATATTAGCCAATTTAAAAACTTTTTTCGCACATAAATTAGACGGAAGCACGGATGCTATTGATTATGTGTACTGCTTATACATTTGCATCATTTCAGGAAGCAGTTCAAACCAATGGTATTCAACACTCAAATTCATCACTCGTATCTTACTTGTGGGTGTTACGATTCACCGATATCTTTTATGCTTCTATTAACTATATTGATATTTAAACTCAAAAACTAGCTTTTTCATTTGCTTTTTTATTTCCAGTTTGAAATTCAAAAATTTGTGATTATTGAAAGTTCAGTTGAAGTATCTCATAAATCAAAATTTGAATTTTTCCTTTCCCGAATATAAATTCAGTATCCCGTGATATCTTTAATCGTTTTTTCAATATAGCTGGTAAAAAATGTATACGCTTTTGTCTAACAAATAGGTAAATGATCAGAAATTCTACTAAAAGTTCAAATTTTGTTCACATTTATGATAATTAATGACCTGATATGGGAATCATTGATTGATTGCATAGTTATGTTACAGATTATAAATGGTACATTTCCCTATTTTTCCAGAGAAGAAGACATTTGAGTTCACTTTAAATACTGACATTTTTGACTTTACTTTACAAACTTGAAGAGGCACTGGAAAAGTTGGCAGCAAATACAAATGTTTAATTACATTTAAAATCTCAGTAATGCTAACGGGTAAATTCGCAGCTAAATTTAGCTTCAAAATTGATTTTCACAGAAGAATCAGGGAGTTGCAGATTATATAAAAAAGAAAAAATGTAAAACATCATATATGTCCTTTTTTCGTCGTATATTTGGTATAGAATGGATAAAGCAAAAAGCAAGTTATTTCTGATATCGAGAAATATGCAGGATGTATTTTATGATGTAGAGTGATAAGATGAACACGGAAATGATGATTGCTAAATGTCGGATATCTATGGAATGAGAAATATTTACAGTAATACAACGAGATGTTAAAAGAAAATGAAAAATTCTGCTTTGAGAATGTATTTATTGGTTGCAAATTATTTTTAGATAATAATTTTCTTGGAAATGGGAAAGGTAAGGAGGAAATTGAGAATTTTAAATTCAATTCAACTACAAGCAAATCTTAGATTTTCGATCAATTGAACATCTACTCATATTTAAGTGAAAGTGCATAGTAGGCTCATCGATTTGATAGAGAGAAAGGCTGGAGAGTGGAATCATTCCATATACATAATATACTGGTGGGAGGGAAAAGCGGAGATAGGTTGAAAAGTGAAGGCATTCCATTATCAAACCATGGCAAATTGACCTATCCGTCATTAACCATCCGGCCTTCACAGTTCTTGCCATTTATTTCTACTCCGTCTATCAAAAGTAGGAAACCGAATGGAACTGATACGGAGGAAAGGGAAGATCGGTCTCACTGTGTGTCACAACAGTCGACCGACCAACATGAGGGCAATGAGGAAAAGAGGGAGGCAGTAGGTGAGTGACTAATTTCCAATCTCATTTTAATGGAAAAAAGTTTGTTGAACTTCTAAATTAAAACATTGGATAAAGTTCTGTTGAAGTTTTTTTCTCGGGAAAGCTTTTTCCGTTAGTTTTCGGAAGTATTTTATTTTTCTTTTCATCTTTTTTTAATTATCGAATGACTTTATCAAAAGATTTTTGGTCATTTGAAATTCTGTTGAATTTATGACAAAGGTAAAGTCTAACAAAAATTTGAATTGTTTCTATCGATATTGAAATTTGTATTGATCATATCAAAATCTGATTGCGTTTAACGGAATCTAATTTTGTTGAAATTAACGAAAGGTTAAAAAAAAGCTATCGCAAAATTTGTGAATTCTGAATTTTGTTATTTTTTGTTTTAAATCTGGGCGAAGTTTTGTTCCATTTCACTCAATTTATGTTAATTTCTGGTTTTTCGTTGTTCAAAGGAACGTTCAAACCATAGAAATTGAAAATTTGATTTAATGAACTTTAAACGGTTTATTAAATTGTATGAAATTCTTATCTAAAAATAAAATTTTTATGCATTGAAAAAAATGCTTAGACATAATTTTTGCATCAGTTGAATGATTTTTAATATTTTTCTTCTTCATCCCTTATATTTTGATTTATATGGTGCCGAATTTAATGTGATACCAAATTTTCAGTTAATATTAAAGCTTTGAAACTGTTATAATTATGAAATTTGTAAATCTTTTTTTATGAAGTCAACGGATTTTAGGCCTTTGTTAGAATTCTGATCTTGCCGTAGATCAGTAATAGCAAGGTCTTCAGAGAAAGTATTACTTAATTTACATCAGTTTTCCTGTTAGTTTCTTGAAGTACTTTATTTTTCTTCTCATACCTTTTTACTTATCGAATAATTTTATTAAAAAGCTTTTAAATCACTGTTATAAATTAGGCAAAGCTTTCACAATTACAAATAAGGCTAGCGGTTCTTTTGTACCATAAGTAAATATATTTTAGAACATTTGCTTAATTCTTCATGTTCTGAACTTTTTCTTTTTAAATCTAAAGGTATTCTTTAGTTTTTAATTTCAATTTTTGCGTTTCTTAAGTTTTAAATAGCATTTCTTCATCGACTCTTATTTTTTGTTATGGTTTTGAAAGTATTATCTCCACATTATTCGTCAGAAGGCGAATTAGAACACAAAGCCTAAATAAAACTTACCGCATAAAAGACTTTTACATTACGTAGTGAAATTTGCTTTACTGCATTTCTCATTTACCTGCAAATATAGGTATTTTATGCTGACTTAACGTTTTGTGTCGATACTGACAGACTGACAATTCATAACACTTTAAATCAGAAACGAATCAATTAATGAAAGAGTAATGGAATAAAAGGAAAGTAAGTATACCGTTGAATAAAATCCTTCTCAATTACAAATTTAATTTCAGATCATGATGGCAGCTTTGTATCCCATATCTGGTACATTGGCCGGTTGCATCGGATGCATGTATTTTGTGGAATCTATTGCTAAGTATAATTCATCATACTAAACTTTTATTTGACCCCTCCTGTCTTCTATTCTAAAAGAAATTTCCATAAATTGCAGAATATTTCGAATATTCCAGCTTGTTTTCGGCTTTCAGAAGAGGAAACCTAGCGCAAAAGCTAACTTAATCCTTTGACTTTTTCAATAATAGTAATAAACTCTTCCGCAATGTAAAATCCATATTCACCTGAAGTAGTGGGAATTTCGAAATTTAATCTATTTACATTTTTAGGGAGCAACCCAGTTCGATGAATCTGATGACTTTTTCGACATTTCTCTTCATATCATTGGAGGGATTGATTTTTACGTCGAAATTTTTTGCCGTTCCCAATAAAATTCCGATACGGTATGTTAAAATTTCCGTTAATTTTTTTAAAATTTGAATTACCTTTTCAGTCGGCTAATTTGTTTTCTGTTTGATTTTGTGTTTTATTTCTAAATTGAAGTTGGCTTTCTACTAGCTTCGAGTAATTTGCGTTTATTTTAAGTAAACTGAACATATGTTATTGTTGCTGTTTAAGTTATTTATTGAAAATTGAACCAAGGATTTATTTTAACGGTAAACTTCCTTCCGAAAGATCAATAATTCCAGTAAACAGTGAATTCATAAATTTCAAACTTTTCGACTTCAAAGCTTATCAATTATCATTGATCAAATTGCTATCGCTTTCATCATTTTTCAGTGCTTATCTGCCAACAGTGATAACATTCTTTTCTGTCAATGTTATTAATAACCAAGCTCTGAATTTTCATGTTCCTGTCCCATTACATATCATTTTTCGATCAGTAAGTTTGTGGTCACATCGTTATGCAGTATCCACTATAAAATTATTTATCTCGAACTTTGAAAGATACAATATGTTTTGGAGAGAACAACACTTAATTGTTTATGCTAAACATGAATTGATTGGGAAATGTTGCGGTCATAATATGTATGTTCCTTTTCATAAAATGATATGAATATAATGGTTTTATTGACATCATTTAATATCAACTAAACTGATCTTTCAGGGTTCACTATTAGCTAGCTTAATTCTCACGAAGATATTACAAGGAAAAGAGTACTCATTGCGAAAATACGTAGCAGTTTTGTCTATCACGGTTGGCATAATCATGTGTACTACGGCTACTGCCCATTTAGAGGTTATTCGAAAATATTTTAATTTTGTCGACATTGCGAGTTCAATGCGGATTGTTCATCAGTGGGCCATTCATGTGTCGATTATTTATTGGATTTTCATAACTGATAAGAAATCTTCCAGAAAACGGATCAACAAAAGACGGTGGTTGACATCGAAAAGCACTATCGGGAATGGATAATCGGCAAGTTCCTTAAATTGATTTGAAATATTGTTATATACAATTCCGTTTTGATCATATTAGACACTCCTAAAATCGATTAAAAGTATTTCAGGCATTGTGATGCTTACTACAGCTTTATTAGCATCGGCATATTTGGCAATTTGTCAGGAAACAATGTATAAAACATATGGAAAGCATACTGAGGAAGCCATGTTTGTAATTGTAAGTTGATACTTGAAGAAGAATGGATCTATAGATTGAATTCTTATCTAAATTTAGGATTTTGATGATTGGTAGTGGAATATGTTGGATTCTTGATATCTTTATATCAGAAGAGAAATTGGTTCAATATTGAAATATAAAAATTATAAAATATACAGGAATTATTTTTTTCTTTATTACACATACAATATAGATTTAATCTACGTAGTTATATATTATAGCACAGTGCTTCATTGCCATTTTTTGCATTTATGGGTGAAGATATTTATAAATCAGCTGTTGCATTTTCGCTTAGTTATCCGGTTGATATACTTGGTTTTCGTATTCCACACATGTGGGTGTATCTTGCTGCTACTTGCCTATTACAGTATGTGTTTTTATTTTGACAACTTTATTTCACATTTGCTTATCCACTTGGAAAAGTATATTTTATTTGGTTTTTATCCAGAGTAATTGGCTGCAAAATACAAGTAAAAAAGTTTTTGATAAACTGGTTTATAGAATGCTGTTTCAGTGAGATTGTTTCAGTTGAATATTTTCATTTACACATTATAACATCTATGATAGCATCACAACATCATTAAATGATTTGGTTAAATTAATTTCAGATGGATGTGCATCAGTTTTGTATATCGGTTAAATGCCATCTATGAATCGTTAACGGTAACAATGGTTGTTACCATACGGAAATTTCTTTCTCTACTTATTTCCATTCTTTGGTTTCGGAATCCGTTCACGTTAGCACATTGGATTGGCGCAGCGTTGGTTTTTACCGGCACACTTGCATTTGCCGATATTTGGACTGGCTGTACTGGTACAGCAAAGGAAATTAAGAAAAAGAAATATTAACTAATAATAGTTTATGCTTAGACTTTTTTTAGTTAGTTCCTTTTTGCTGCAATTCTTCTCACAAAATTATTCTGGCATGAATTGTAGACTAGCTCGAATTATGTAAGAATGATGCTTATTAAATAATCTTTCATCGGCTAGTAGTAGTTTCATGCTTAGAATCTTAATTTTTATAATATAATGCAAGTTTTCGCCAAGAGTTGCCAAGTTTAGGAATAAAGTTTAATTATGCTGCACAGTTGCAGCATGTATCCCCATCCTTCAATTTAGAACTTGAAAACTTTGTAAATTTGTTTTTGTTATATCTCTCATCTTCAGCATTATGTGCCTTTATTAACATTATTGTTTTTACTTTTATTTGTTTAATACACTATTTCAAAAGGTTCGAATAAAACACGTGTCTTGAAAGATTGGGGATTAAATTAGTGTAAATTACATATAGTGAGAAAAGGAAAACTTACGTGCTTTGAATCTAATATAAAACTGCGTGGCAGATTGTTGTTATTGTTAACACCGCAGATAACCAAATGCAGAATAGTAAATTCGAGATACAGTAGGATGAAATACAATAATAAGGAGATGAAGGATTTTTATTCATAGTCTAACCTTTATATATTGCAGATAAATGAGTTTAACTTGCAATAAAATATAAGATTGGAATTTACATGGAGCCTTCTCAAGCAATACATAAAATGGGCATATAAGGTTTTGTTTTATAAGGCACATAAGGACTAGCTTACCGGATGCGCGCATAACAATTTTGTATTTAGATGATTCAAATTAGATCATGGATTCATTACCGGCGTAGGAAAACGTTGTAATAACTTTTTCTATAAAGCGATGAATTTTTTATCCGGAAAATGCTTTATAGAAGAATATTTTTATTGCTCTAACATATGGTTTTCCTCGGTTTTCCAACATTTCCAGCTGAAGGAGAGCAATAGGATTAAGGAACGTAAATATTTAATCCAGTTGATTCCTTTTATTTAATGGGCGATTTTTGTTTCTTATTATTTAAAGAGACCACTAATTCCTGCTGAATTGAATTTAGGCTAGATTTTTTAGTGTATGAAAAACGTACTATAAAAAGAATCAAATGAAACTTATAGTCTTAATGAAAATTAATGTTAGCAATATTACAAATTCGACCAATCTCGTATTTTTTAGGAATTACATGGAACAATTAGTTCCATTGATTCTTTTTGCTATTATGTAATTTATTCCAATTTTAATTCGGCGGCTAATTACCAATCTATGAAGTAACCATTCAATTAGGAATAATATATTATTATAATTTTGATAATTTTGTTTGGATAATTCGCTCAGTTGTTGTTTAAATTCTTCTCGAAGACTGTCAAAGACATATTGGAATTTGACGTTTCCGTGATCGGTAATTTCTTCTTCCTAAGTTTCTATTGTCATTAATTTTCCCTTCAAGGAATTTACCTGGGTTTTAATCTGAGTAGAATTTCGAATTATTACTTTATCGACGATATCACCATTCATCAGGCGAAGATCTATTAAGTCACGGTTTGTTTCTGTTAAGTTTCATTTTCTTTAGAAACGAATGAAGTTTGAAGTTCGTCGATGAGAACTTTCCATACGTCCTTGCATTGAAATTTTCGATTCATCAATAAGAATTATGCTAGATTTAGTTATGCATTTCCCTTTGTGTAGGATAATGTTCGATAGAATCAAGATTCGATACTTTCTTCCATCATAGATTAGGATTTGTCCTTGCTGTAGTAAAAAAGTCATAGTTGATTGGCATCGAATTCTTTTATTTATCCATATGAATGCTGTACGTTGTTGCTCATTGTCCATATGTTTGGAGAAGTTTGTTTGAATTTGGTTTCGTTGATCGAGTGTTTCTACAAAAATGAGAGCTTGTTACTGAAGTAGTAGTTTGATCTGATTCCACAGGTAGTAAGAATCTCAAAAAGGCTTTAGTACTTATTGTACGAATAATATTACTACATTTTATTGCGGGTATCCTTGCGTGAATTCATGTATAGATCGCTATTCTAATTGATGTAAGTTCTGTTCTAATGCTTTCTCACAATTCTATTTCTGAGAATATCAGAAATCCATCTACAATTGTCGCTTGCTGTGACTCGGATTAATAACACAAAAATAGTAGTGATTAATAAGTTCCGATATTGTCTTTGAATTTTGTCGAGTATTCGCACTTCTAGTTCTTAGAGTAATCGATCCTTCTTTTGATTTCTCTACTATTGATGTTGATTGATCTTCTAGGTGCTTTGAATCGTCTACTTCCAAGGGATAAAGCATATTTATTGATCTATCGAGCAGTTTTCCATTTGGCATTTATGTCATTGCGCTTCTTATTTTTTCATCCCATCCTCTTTTGATTTCTTTTATTCTGGCGAATTTCCACATGTCACTGGGTGTTTTAGATTTATTTAGCAAAACTGTTTCGTTCTCACATAAAGTTCTCTTTCTACAGCTACAAGAGAAGTTAGTTCCCCTTGAGTGCACTCTCTCGAACTAGTAATATATTCATATCTTCATATTTTCCAGAAAACATCTTATGTTTTAAGAGTGTTGGACCACTTCATTAGTTTGTCCTTAGTGTTTAATATATAATACTGTCTAATATATGTTTAATATATTGTGTAATATATATATATATATTTGTCCTGATTATTGTCATAATTAGTTGATATATCTAATGAGATATCTAATGAGGCATTAGGTGAGTAAAATCAATTGCGCCTATAACTCTATAGTCATTAAAGCCTACGTATGTTAGTGGGTGGGTATTATTCCTTTTATTTCTGTTGTCGTAGTTATTAATTCTCTTTTCTTTAAAAGTTCCCTCCCTATTGCTCTTCTTAGAGCCTTTTTGATAGGCCCGATAATTCATTCATATGCACCTCCATCCTATGGTGCTTTGGGTAGTCATTCTTGATCATGTAACTTCTTCAATAGATAGTAATTTTAACCAAGGCAATTTTCTTTTGCGGTTAGTTTAGTAAATTGGAGAGCACACACAGTTGTTATCAGTAATCATATCCATTTACCAAATTGTTTGATTGCTTGATTCTCTAGATTGATTGCATACATAACTGGAAATACGTAACGTTTGAAGCATCCGGGTATACATGGATTTTCGTTTGTGGCGAATGTTATCGCAAATCTATTACATTTGTTGGGTATTCCATAACTAGTGCATTTCGGTGTTGTTCATCTTCATTTAAAACTTAATTCCAAGATTTGTTTTCTTTCTATAAATGTTGGATAAACAGTTTGAGTCGTATCATCGAAGAAAGTAAGAAACCCAATGGATCATATTGTGAAGCAACGAACTGTAGATTCGTTCTTTTATTTAATTTTTTTCAACTTATAATTTTAATGTTATACGAATGACATCTGTGTCACGAATACATTCAAGTACATTATACATTCAATGAATACATTATGAATACATTCAATATGAATTCAATATTATTCAGTATTCAATATTATACGAATACATTCAAATGCATTCAAGACCGAGAAAATTTTCCTTATTCGTTTTGCTTCGATCATATTCAGTATCCTCTCTCATTTATGTTCATTGAGGTTTTTACCAAAATACTCTTCGTTTCCTCGTACTTTGAGAGTTTCTTCTGTTCTATTAGCAAATATGGTGATAATGTTATCTTCTTACGTCATTGTAGTGTCATAATTTTCTTAATAGGAGTTAGTATTTCATGATGTAGCAAATGGTGTGCAATGCCTATTTTATCTTTCGAATGTATTTCAGGTATGGCTGATCATAATTGATCTTTAATTGTTTCATGATATAAATGAAAAACTAATTTACGTTGTAGATGTTTGATTAAGTTCTTCATAAAGTCCAAAGCATAATCCATAATTGTTGTTTAATTTGTATTTGGCGTCTTTCCAGGGCCAGCATACTTGTTATCTTCCGTTTTGTTTAGTAATAGTCTCTTTGAATTGTTTTAATACTTGAAATTTGTTATATAACAATTCCATTATAATCAAAGATTCGCCATATTTGTCTTTAGCAGTCTTCTTATAACTTCGTAATTTTATATCAAAACCCCTTACTACTTCCAAAGCGTTTCCCTTTAAACACGAATGCAGATAATTTAACTTTTGAATTTTCGGAATTATTTGTGAATGAACTGTGGCATTGAAATTACTTCCAAAACTATCGCTATCATCTAGGATTTCCATTAAAAGTAGGTAACGACAAATGGGAAAAATTGACTTCAAGATGGAACGTGGATCTTGACGCCTCCTTTGATTGAAATAATTCTTATGAGAATCGCGTTAGTTCGAATAAGTGAGAAGAACTTCTTCACTTACCCATTGATGAATTCACCATCGGCGAGAAATAGATGAAATACATGTGCTAATTCTCAATCATTCTATTAAATATATTTTTTCCATGCAATCTGCTGCTGTGTATATGGCCGCTGTTATTCATCGACTTTTTGAGTCCTAAACATCCCTAGGGCCTATCGCCGAGGAATAAATATGGCCTTCTGTCATAGTTAAAGCAACTAAAGCCGTTTGTGCGGTTGCGTTGCCTCTACACTTCATCAAGCTTACATTCCTATTTTAGCTGCAACGCGTTTGGCTATTATTCTTAACTGACAATGGCAACATTCGACTTAGCGGTCGCTATTATCTTCTTTGCTTATTTCCAGGATACGGAGGAAATTGATTTATCACATCAGGTTTTTTTTGTATTTAAACTTTTCTCAATATAATTTGCATTATTATAAAATTCGCCGCTTTTCGCTTTTATCTTCAATTAAAAAAATTTTTGTACTTTTCTTATTTCCATTTTCGACTTAAATTAGTACTACTAACAGCTTTTTTATATGCTGCCTTACAAATTTGCAATGGTTCCAGCGGTTTGCGGAAAATGAATCTGTTAATTGAAACCTTATTGCAAATAAAATAAAAGGTTAAAGATCTTAACCTTTTATTTGCAGTAGAATTTCAATAACAGTACCGCTGGAATCCGTGCATCTTTAACTATGAATTTTTAATTGTACAAATTTTTGGATTGCGCTTCTTTTTAGGTTTTCTTTTCTTTTTTTATTTTATGCTAAAATTGCGGTTCCAATATATAAACTGGTATTACCATGAATTATTTTCCCATTGTTGCAGAATATACCCGAATTTATTGGTCTCATAAGCCGTGGCATTGAAACCATTCCAAGTCCACTAGCTTTCGGTCACAAATATATGACAGGTAATCTTTATTCCTTTCATATCATAGGAATTTCTGGAAATTTGTAGACTTATTGTTATGGAAAAGTAAAATTTGTTCATTTTTAGCTAACTAAATCTTATTATTTTGTAAAATGAATACATAATGAAAGCTACCAGTTTAACAGGGATACAAAGACATGATAAACTGAAAGCGGAATCAGTTACAGGTGGAGCTGGTGAAGGTTCGCAACTTCTGCGGCCTGATTCTGATTTTGAAGAGCGTCAAAAGGTGAGCTTATTTCCAAAGGACAATCAGCACATCATTATGCACATTTCTTCATCAAAAAAGCGAGATTCATTTATAATTAGAACCAGTTACTCAACATCTTCCTGATAAAAAGGCCGATGCATCAATTATTTAAGGTAAGAATTATTAGAATTTTAGATTTATTAACTTACAGGTGAAAAGCGACAGCATATTACCATCCTATTGTGAACCACCAAATCCATGCCCGTTAGGTTATACAGCAGCGGATGGTTGTTTGGAAGAATTTGAAAATAGCGCCGAGTTTTCACGAAATTATCAAGCCAGTCAAACATGTATTTGCGATCAAGAACATATGTTCAAGTAAGCACAAAATTATTGATAGAGGATAAAATAGGTCAGAAATGATCGAAAAAAAAAGTAGTAATAAGAAATCATGATAATTATAATGGAATAAATAATGATAAAAAGATGATTAGTTCATTTTAATAGTAAGTCAGTGTAATAAAACATTTAATAAACTATACACAACAATCCGTTAATTCGTATCACTCACTCATATTACTGTGAGCTATCGAATTTTTTTACACGAACACTTATTAATCTATAGATTTTGAGCGAAAAAATGTGAAGTAATCTATTTCAATACTGAATTAAGCATAATCATTTGAAAATTATGAAATTAGTGCAGCAAGGAATAAATTAGTATGCAAAGCAATTAGTATAGCAAAACAAAATTAGTACACAAAATTACTAGTGATAAACAATTCATGAAGTTATAAAGTGACGACGAAACTGTGAAAAGTAAATTAGTGTGCTGTAATTTTGAGCTTCAATTTACTTATCGACTAGTATTATCAATGAATTCAAAATATGATTTAGATCAATAATGTTTTTCTCAATTTATCCTATCTGTTGAATTACTCTTATTCTCTCATATCATGATAAATTAACCGTATTGATTTTTGTAGAAGTTAAAAAACGGAAAGATTCAAAGTTCAAGAATTCTTACCACATACAGTGTTTTCTTTTTTTTCGAGTAAGCAAACAATTGAAATTTTCAGTTGTCCAGATAAAAGAATGGATGAGGATTTGGAAGAAAGTTTGCAAAGTATCCTTAACGATCAGGGATTGCATAAAACTCTCATTGCCAAAAAATTTCACAAAAAGCGATCACAAGCAATGGTGAGTGTAAAATGTTAAAAATATGATAGCATGTAAAAAAAATTGATTTTTTCTGCAATTGGAAACAACAATATTTACATATTTGAATTTGTGAATTGAGGTCATTAATTCGAAAAAATTCTACCACTAATAGAATTCCAGTTATTTTGGATTATTGTTTAAGTTGTAATATCTACCCAATTTGGAGATATCGGTATAATCCCAATTGTGCTACTTTTATCGCTCTAAAAACTTTCTCATAAAAAAAGCTAAATGATAAGAAACAATTATTTAATGTTGTGGTTAATGAATTTTTGAGATTCTAATACAAATTCAAATTTTTGGTTGCTTCAAAAGGAAAAATTGAAAAATGTCTAACATATTTTCATCAAAATTTTACTCCATTTTTTGAAATAAAATTTTAAAATGAAGAATTAAAGCTTCAGGGACTTCATCGAGAGCGCTCCATCAGAAGAATGACCATACAACTTTCTCAAAATCATCAAAATCCATACTTCAAGGGTGAAATCTTAAAATCGGTGATTAAAAAGGATGGTCGAAATACATGGCATTGATACATAGCCAGATAGAAAATGCCAAAAATATTACTGATCATTTTGATTATTTAACAACGACCGATGGTTATTAGATAAACAACCCTGTGATTCTTTTTGTCAAGTGATCCGTTTCAAGATTAATTTTTCATGATCATAATAAATTTTATCTCATTCTTCTAATCTAACAAATACTTTCATACGTTCATATCAACTGTAATACTAAACACAAACCCATATTTTTAACTTTTTTGACTTTCATTTTTTTGCAAGTTTTTTTCCGTAACTTCTCAAAATTTCATCATTTTGAATATAACAAAATTGTCGTATAGCTCATTGGAGCAAATAATGGAAAAGAAAGTAAGGATCAAATGATTCTTTCTCTCTGATAGCTTTAATGATATTATTGAATTGCTTAGTAATTTATGAGTTATTTTAGATTACTTTGTATTAACTTATCCTAATTTACTATTTTTTGCTATAAAACCATTATTTCTCATATGAATGTACAACATTTCTTTTCGTTTTGTTCTTTTTACTTAAATACTAACAAAGCATGAATTGGTAAATATTATTTGATTCGCTAATAAAATTAAGCAATATGATTTGTCCACAAATATTTACTTTATTTCCTAATTGTTGTAAAGCAACAGCATAAAGTATCCACTATATGTGTATTGGTTTTTTTCTTCAAGTAAATAATTATTGTTGATATATTCAAATATGGGATTTAGTAATTAAATTACATATAAAAAGTCTATGGTATCAATGCTTATAAAGTATAAGGAGATTTAAAATATCAATAGTATCAACCCAATGATATGGTACTAATTCGTGCCGAAGTAAAAAGCCTTTGAAGCCATTTTGTCAATATATTAATCCTTACCCGACCATATTTTAAGCTTTCATTTTTTCTAGAATAACTCTCGATCTGTTTTTTTCTTCATAATTTTATCAGTCTTTTTCTTTTTTTAACTCGCATTTACTGTTACTGTTATAGATCGTTGATATTTCTACTTTTCCTCAATCTTTAATAATCTCTTGTATCTCTAAAATTATCACATTATCTTATTCGTTTCATTATTTAATCAAAATATTCTAAACCCCTAAGATCACGGCTGTTTTTGGCCGAAGCAGATGATATTTCGCTATACCTCTTGGGATAACACTTTTTCAAAACAGACCTGATAGATACCTTGCGAGCGATTGTAGAGATACATAAGGAAACATACGTTTACAATGGTTGAAGCGTGACGTGACGCAGGATGGCGTGTTAGCTTTTCTTTTTTATTAAGGGACATTATGAAGTGTATCAAAAAGAGGACAGTAAACGTTAAAAGTATCAAAAAAAATTAAGGTTTAGTGAGTGACTTGTTTTGGAATGACGTTATCGTCTTTTTTTATTGACTTGTTTTATGAAACTTGTATTTGTTTCCGTTTCAGTATACATTGTTATATACACTTACATACATAAATACTACTCACGCTGCAAAAAACGGTATGACATCAAGTACTAGTGGTCGTGCGGATGTGGCGGATAATGATGTCAAATTAGGGCGAAGTGGCGAACACACCGTAATTACTGAGAAACAACCGAGCAGAAAAAGGTATTATATCCAATTTTAAAGATTTTTTTATGTCCTTTGATCGAGTAGGCTATTTTGTCGAAAAAATATCTTGCAGGCATGATATTTCTTTGTTTTTAAAATTGAGCTTGCTAATTATTTTTGGGGCACATTTTCTTTCACTTTAAATAATCTTCGTAGTATCCTTGTTAATTTATCTATAGAGAGTTCCATTGATACTGTAAATTTTATGCTTCCACCATTTGAAATAACTAGTCATTATCATCAGGAAAACGAAGTCGTGGTTTTAATGATGCAGCTAAAAGCTCTCTTTATTGCATTTCGGGAACATCTTTACGAAAACTTTCAGAAATAATACTAAGCGTGGTGGTGTAAAGAGACGAATGTCCTCATTGGCGTATCATCAGCAACAATACATGTTAATGCGTGGAGGTCATCCAGGTGGAAGGGTAACATTTTCCTTATTTCCTCTTTTATTGCTATTTTCTTTTTGTTTTGCAAATATTTAATGCCTAAGGTTCAGTGTTTTTGGGTCTTATGTTGTATCAAATTTTCGATTGTGCATTTATTGTATATAAATTGTAGCCGCTACATCCTACTGGAACGAATACTGCACAAAGAGTGATTCCTATTCGATATCCTAACGCATCCGGACCTCCCCATCTTTTCCCACCACAAAAATTTGGTTTTTTCAATGAAGCGGCACCATCGATACATCCTGGCCATCCAGGGTCGGAGGTCAGTTAGTTTTTGTTCTTGCAAAAGTTTATTTTTTTAAAAAAAAAGTCATCTGAACGATTTGGATTACCTTTTAGATTTAGGATCTAGTTCTGAGAAAAGTAATGAAAAGTGCTGTCGCGGCGATGCGGTCGATCTCACACTATGGGTAGCAGGTGTGAGACTTATCTTAAAAATTGTTTTGAACAATTTTATATTGCATTTAGATCCCAAACATTGCGAAGTTTTCGCTTTGGAAAATTTCAAAATATTTTGTGTAGGCACTGGGTATCGTAATCACTTTTGATTACTAAATGTATAGAGGATAATATTCTTTAAAATTTATGAAATTGAAAATGAAAATGTGGATGAAAAAAGCTCCGTAAAGGAACATGGAAAACATATAATTTATATGCACTCTTTGGATTGTCTGTAATGTGCTCTTTTCATTTCAGCAGATTTGCTCAAAGTTGGTTTTAACACTATGTAAACTAGCTTGTCGAAGAGCTAGAAATAATTTTTAATTTAAAATTTCAAAAGCATAGCAATTGCTGTTGCTTTTTCCAATAAGTCATTTTGGGTGGGAAAACCTTTAAAGCAAAAGGTAGATCAGTGTTAAAAAGCAGGAAAAAAAGAATTTTTAAAAGTAATTTTCTCGAATTCTTAATAATACAGGAACATATACTGATAATGTAGAAACATAGTAATCTTTCTAAAATGCCCTGCAAATATCGTCATCCACTAATAAATGGTATGTATATGCATGCAACAGCTGCTGATGTCATCTTTATTGCTGGAGGTTCATAACCTTTACCAAATTCTGAATTTCAAATAATGCATCCGAGAATTGCAGAAACGCATTTGCGAAGGCCCACCGAAGCCGCATTTGATGATGGAAGGTTTTGGTTTTTTTCATCGTTTTAAAAATTTTTTTTGCAAAGTTCACTAAAAAATGGTGGTTTAACAATTCAAAAATTTTTCCATCAAAATAAGCAATGAAATTTAAAATTTCACCTATTCATGGATGAAAGGGCGAAAAAACGCCTAAGATCAGTTTGTTCTAAACTACAGTACTCCTTTACCTGGACTTAAAATGTGAATTACTTCGTTATATTTATGTTATAAGTTCAGAATACAGAAGTAAAATAATAATACATGTATGCGTTAGGAACGATAATATTGAATCTAAATGTTAAGGCTTATGGAAAGCCAGAGTAGGGAAGTGTGGCAATTATAAACTAAAATGGAGCGTAAACTAATGTGATAAATGTGAACATTCTGTTTCATATATTTGAACATATAAATATTGTTTAAAATTATGAGAATAGAAGTCTCAATTTCTTATTTGTGCAAAATTCAAGCGGAAAAGTGCTAGCCTCTTTAATTAGAAAATCAAAAGGTAGGCATCCATTTTTTTTATTCCACTCCTTTTTTCATTTTTTCGTTCGCATTGATTAAAGGAGTTTGCGCAACGTATTATTTGCTCATTTTAAACTAATCGCTTCGTTTTATGGATGATTTTACTATTCCAGAACACGGAAGGACTCGGCAAAAGTCAGTACCGAAACCACCGAAATTGTTGTTCACTTCAGGACGTGGTGATACTGTACAAAATGTAAGTCCTTCGGTTTGTACCCGAGTGTAGCTATTTCATAAAACTCTTTGGAAGTACCCTTTGATGTTGGAAGATCTATTACAAGCCATGCACAGCTCTTCTCCATCTTTCAGTATCAGTGGTATGAGAGGGTATAAATTTGATAACTTCGAAGTTATTATTGTAAGTCACTTGTTGGTTTGTTTATGATGATTACTTCTATTGTAATTTCTCCAATTTTCTTATCTTAATGATCGATAGATTGAACGATTTTGAAATTTTTAAGTTACATTTGCAAACTGGATTCACAGCTTGGTTTGAAACTTAAAGGAATTATAGATATTCGTCTTATTTGTTTTATGTGTTTCATTGTAATGTATTTCAGGATAGGCCAGTTATCGGGCCAACGCTAGAAGTAAGAAATAAATCAACTGGCCTGAACGAACAACAAGCTGGAATGAACGAATTGTTTGGTATGTTCGAAACTTTATCTTTTGTCATAGACTTCTAGTTCTAGTCATTTGACTTAAATATTGATGATCTTGTAAGGAAAAAGCTAAACACTGGAAAGTGGATAATTTTTAATGCTACTACCTTAAATCTATCGAATGAAAGTTTAATCAGTTATGCATTGTTTAATCAATTATATATATATATATATATAATGCGTGAGATAACGTGATTGATTCTGTGTAACCACAAAAATCAGAGAAAACTTCAATACAGTATTGTTTTTGTATTATTTTCAAAAGACTATAAATATATTTTTTTTTCAAAAAAAAACATATATTTTCAAAAGAATAAAAGTCAATTTTGAACGTTACTTTTTAGACTAAAGTAATCTTATAACAGTCCATACTCGTGTTACAATCATTTTCTTTGTATCCTGATCATTATCTTATGAAAAGAAACTTCAAAATGTCAACCTTATAATTAATTTTATCGAATGGGTTAGATAATGGAAAAATAGATAATCAATAAAATATTAGTTTTGCAATGTTTTATGTCCTTGTTACTTTTAGCGAAAATGATTTGGAAAAAGTTAGATATGATTCAAAGTCCAATGCGTCTGAATCGTTTACACACGGAAATTATGAATTTATTGCAACAGGCAATCGCTGAAGAAACAGGCAAGTAGTGGTTGTGACTTTCAAATTGTCCTGAAGCAGACAAAGTGTGGAAAATTAGTTGTGTAGAATAATGTATGTCTTGACGAAGTATTGATAAGTTGGTTCATGAGATTAATGTGTGGGACAAATACAATATGAAAGTCCCACGATGTACTGTCCAACAAATTTGCTTAATGTGTTTTGAATTCAGTGTTACATATTATGACGCATAACAGCACCGTTTTAGTGTAGTAAAAAAGGAGAGAGGGAGAATAGTTTCCGGAGAAGTATGTATACTTATCTTTACAATTGCACATATTACTTGAAAGTGTTTGGCGTGAATTTCACACTTGTTCGGTAATCAAAATGTAATAGCAATGCTACTGTCATCATGACTATAATGTAATCTTTGTTACATGCATTCCACTTTTTTCTCAAAATGGACTGGCCAAATCATGTCTGAAATAGCTTATTTTCGAAAATAAAATGCCATCGAAAAAAAGGATCAGTACCATAGATGCATAATTTCTGGAGAACTGTTAGTACGAAATCCGATGTATATTGCTCCATTGGAAAAATAGAAATTAGTACAATGAAATCTCCCTCTCGCCCTTACATTCCTTTTTATGCTCTTTTCAGGCATCAAGATTTCGTAACAGTATTGAATTTGTAAATGCGGTCTCGGTGCTATGTTGTTGATGGTCAGTATAAAATTTGTTTTTCTTATCTTTACAATTGCACATATTACTTGAAAGTGTTTGGCGTGAATTTCACACTTGTTCGGTAATCAAAATGTAATAGCAATGCTACTGTCATCATGACTATAATGTAATCTTTGTTACATGTATTCCACTTTTTTCTCAAAACGGACTGGCCAAGTCATGTCTGAAATAGAAGCTGATAGTAATGATAAAAACATTTTTCCCAAATTGTTATCAGTAAAGGAAACGGTTTCGCTTTATATGTATGGAGAAAACGTAAGATATGATTCACATGATCAGGATTCTTTTAGTTATGGACTGATAGTATAAATTACAGACTAAAATTTTTTTAGTCTAAAATTAGCCAAAAATAGATTTAAAAACACATACTAATAATGTACTAAAATGTAAATAAAACTTATAAGCAAAGGATGTAACGTAAGTTGCGGTGTACCAAATTCAGCTTTTGCTTTCTTTATAACAACTAGGAGTTATATATTTCAAAATACGAGAATATAAAATGAAGGAAAATGAAAAATTAATACAAAGGATTGAAAATCAGGAAATATGTAGTAACAATTGTGCACAAATATTACAGTCCACAAGATTAAAGAGAGACGATGAATTATAAAGAAATGACTCCTTTAAAGAGGTCAAGAATAAAAAAATTGTAGGGATACATTACAAGAAATTGTCGAGTGTATTCCAACTCATCAATTCTTGATGAAAAGTTTATTCCTCGGGGAACTTCAGTTTTGGAAGACACAATCTGCCACTAGATTTAAAAATTCTTGGGAATTTGGAGGAATCCAGCTCGAATCACTGAAACTAACAGCAGCGTCTCCCCGAATAATCTGGAGTCTTAGCTTTAAAACATTCTTCCCAAATATCGGATGGTGGATATTTGCGATATCGTTTAGTAACAATAACTAGTGGTCGTTGGATCATTTTTAGCGGTGATTCATTTTCCAGCAACGAAAGTCGTAAATTCCACAGCTGAAAGGAGGTTATCATTAAATCTCACATTACGTATTTTCTTGGTCAATTACCGGTTAATCAACGAATAACTAATTGAATGATTTCAATGGGAATTACTTGTCCTTGGAATACTTTCAGCTGGTTCCTTATCAGAAATCTATTATTGGTAGTGTCGATCATGAAGAGCTTCCTGATCTCCGCACATAAGCGATGTACGAATATTGGCGTAAGTAAAGATAATAAACGGTCACGCAACTGTCCATCCCAAGGCTGCAAATATGACAGATTCAACGGAAAATCCACGATGAAATATCACTCAACATATGATTAGATTGTAGAAAATTAAGTGAAATCCAATCGTTTACTTGCATTATTTCAGAAAAAGTCTTCGTTAACAAGAGAGCGGTTAATTAACAAAAAACGATTACTTCTCTAAAAAGTTATATGGTGCTCAAGAAGAATATTATTCATATAAAAATAGTGGTGGGCTCAACAAACTGTTCACTATTTTTAACATTAAAAAAAAATATCTTGAAACTATCAATTTATTCGGATATTAATTTAAAATTTTGGATACTGGAAAAACAGGGTAACTCAAAACATGCCTCTCGCGCGCTATCCATATTTGCCCATCCATATACAAATGGTCGCAAGACCGTAGCAGTTTCCGGATGTTTGACAGGAAATGCTAAACCATTATCTATAGCTGCAATATCAAGTGCTTCATTCGGAACATACCTGAAATTAAATTAAAAGTTTGAAACATAAACAGAAAAAAAATATTTCAAAGACGAAATTTAGGAGAAACGGAGTATAACGGAGTGTAAGATAAACAACTAACCGTATCAACCAATTATCCATGTTCCGGTCGGTGTTCCGAATTACATAATCCAACACACACATTTTTTGAAACAAAACAAGAAAACGTTTCCTTTCGAGAGACGTAAGTGGATCATTTGTACCAATAAGCTCCCAACCAGGTACCAAATCATACGCAGGTTTGTAACCGTGAACAAAAAGCTTAAATGTGCTTAACTTCCTTTAATTTTTTCAGAAAGAGACAAAAAAGGAAATTCGGAAAAAATTTACAGTGCGATTAAAATAAGTAATACTTCAACAATAATAAAATTTTTTATGTTCCAGTAAGATCAAAACGCCATGAAATGAAAAACATCAATAAATCATGGATTGCCTGATAACTTCCGATTTTCGAATATATTTCTGGTGCCGAGCAACATCGTCGTGGATAAAAAAATGCCGGAGATGCCATTTTAACAATACGAGTTTTTGGTACTACGTGTAGCTGCAAGTTAACGTATGGAAAAAGTTAAAAAAGAAGAAAATATTGTTCCTTTCGACTTACCGCTCTCAAAAAATTCCAAAAAATCGATGTGCTTTATGCTAGACCAACCTGTAATCGCTCATCGACTAGTGAAGCAGCTACCTCAGATAGATAACCACTGAGTGGTATCAAACATGAACGACCGTAACAGCAAAAACAGAGAAATCGTTGTAAGAATTTCGGCCATTTCGGATTATTTTCCGCAAACGGTTCCTCATCTTTTGGCTTGAACACACCAATGTGTCGGCCTTGTAAATTTCGAACAAAATACGAGCCTCAAAAAAATCGTCGCGTTAATTCTATAGACAATGGGAAGCAGAAAAGAATTCAAAATATTCTTTTCTTCCCAATCTTTTAAATTTTTATTCCCATTTTACTGCTACAATTTTGATTTTCAGTCCTTTCAGAAAAAAGTTGAAATAGATTCCAAAACATTCAGTTAAAAGATGGATTGTTTAATAGTATGAAAATGTAAGCTATAGAAAAATGGAGTACTAGATTAAACAAACAGTACATCCAGGGCAATTAATATTTCTGATCTTGGTTTTTTGTGCGCTGTAGTATTAATATCATATAAAATACATAAAGAATTAAATACACCTGAACTTCCGGATGGAATCAAAATTGGATGAATGTTGGACTGGAATGCTTCTAAGCAATCATTCAAGTTTTCTACAAAATCTTCATCATCAACATCTAACATTAATATCTTTAATTTGTTATCTTCTCCGTGTAATCGACGCCAAAATATTTTGATTTGCTGTCTTCGTTTCATTTTGTAACCTGCAATCTAACTTAAATCTATCACCATAAATTCAAAATGGACAACTTTGACATTATTAATAGCCCGCTGGGTTGTAATAATCTTTTTAAAGAATATTTTTAACGAAGTGAGATTTTCTTAAATTAATAATTTAATGAGTAAGAAACTATTCCAGTTTATATCCATATTATATATGTATAGTACTTCTAACACTTCGAAAATTGTTGCAAATAATAATATTTTAAAATCAAAACAGTATTCCAATTCTTAAAATTTAAATTATTATTCTAACAAATTCATTGTAATACTAATATTGCTTTAATAAACTATTATTAGAGTCCAATACATTCATATACAGATTTCTGATATCACTCCACTGAAAATTGTTCCGACTAAAACAATTCGTTGCATTTCCTAAAAATGGAATTCCTCGAATGTACACCAATCAAAATTAAACATTAAAAAGTATTTCATTGGAAAATAAAAAGCTTTCAAATTAAAAAAGAAGAAAAAAACTAAATGGCAAAAGTTACCCGGTCTGGTACTAATAATGTACTCAGAAGAGTGAAACAAAAAATACATGACTAACATTCACGAAAATCATTATTAATAAAATTTAGGTTTTATTCCTTAGTCAACGGCATGATATGATACGAAACATCTTACGGCCAAGCTGAAAATGTTCTTCCATTCCTCAACATGAACCACTAAATCTATGCTAAATTTTCTTAATCTTAAAGATTTTTTATTATGCATTAACCTGCTATACCTGTTATATCCGGATCATACCTCCGTCATTTCAGGGCTCAACTTTCCACATACGTTCAACAGGAAAATAAAAAGACTCACATAACATGAAATCTTCAGCCTTCAATTTCCTTCCTTTTTTCCATTAAAAATTTCGAAAAATTTGTCTGGTACCCATTCTTTGCAACAGTTACTGATTAATCATCTTTCTCTCTTTTTCTCGAAGATATTAAGTTTAACGAGGAAAAAAAGAAAGAAAACCGAATCATGCAAAAACATTTCCTGCCAACTTGCAACTGCATTACACATTTTGCTCTCTCACTTAATTAAATTTGTTCTTGTCATACCTATTTTTTTCTCTGTAACCGAATTACCATATCAACACACAATGAAAGATGCAAAAGAGGAAGCAAACGACAATGAACAATAGTAGAAATAACAAATAACAGTAAACCTTATCAGAGTATTTTTACGTAAAAATACTTCATATCATATTTTCTTCATCAGAATAAACTTTTGTAAACAATTCTATGGAAAGAACAGTGTCATTCTACGTTGACAACTCAAATTTTTCCTTTTTTGAATATCAACTAACTATTCGAATTAAGATAATTAATTTACCAAAATATTTTTATCTATCGCACTGAATCATGTAACACACTGCGGATGAATCATACATTTTTTTTAAGGGCAAATTTGAGCTTCCGAAATCACTAAACAATGAAAAGGTAAATCCTATCAAGCGGGTTGAACTAATCACAAGTTGAACATAAAATAAGCCATCGATCGTGCACTGATAAGAAGATATGCCATCAGTAACTATTTACCAACACTACTTTTATGAATTATGCACTTGAAAAATTTAGTTTAAATATATCAAAATCAATTTACCAAATTTTTCTTGCACAAAAACACTAGTATTGTACGAAATATAATAATTTATTATTTATCAGCACCATGATTAAATAATACTTGACAAATAATGGAAGTATTTATATTCACTACTGTGCGAACACTAACAACTCATTACGCAACAGAAACACATTTCATACAACAATTAACTTCATATTACTCATCCTTTTTTTTGATAACACTTTACTAAAATTAACATTGAATTATGGATAAACTATAACACAACAGAAATAGACAACTAACAAATAGAGGTATTCCCAAATTATTTTCCTGATTGGAATACTGACCTATTTTTCTTTGGGATAATAGCTATTATGTCTAATCGATGGTTTAACCAACTATTTTTTAACTTAATCCGATGACGTACATCTTAAATTTTATCTCGAACGATTCATACCACGTCCTTCAGCGCAATTTTCAAAAAAAATAGAATATCAAAAATTTGTTTATGTGAAGAAATGAGAAAAACTAGAGAAAAATACCTGATGAATCAACACAGCATCAAAACGAGAAATAGTGACGAATTTTGAAATGATTTGTAAACCTTAAATGAAGAAAAAGAAATATTTCCTACCATCAAAATTCTATCCACTAAAATTAGTCGAAAAGAGTGACAAGTGATAAATAATTGAAAATAGATGAAAATCTGAAAAAAAAAAGGAAACTTGAGACTTTCGAGACATCATCGCTTTTTTCTAATTTCCATATGGAGAAATAATACAACAATCAGTTTTCTGAAAATAACTGAAATTTTTTGAGATCTGTTATGATTTAGATTTCTAATAAGAACTAATATAAAAGCGTTCACATACAAAAGAAAAATGGAGCAATGATGGTAAATATGGCATACAACGCTATCATATGAAGTTGATTGTAACAGAAACATTTACAGTTAATGACAAAAATTTGCAAATAGAAATTTCTGACATTAATTTCCTTGACTTTTTTTTATCCTTTCATCGTTCTATGCATATTTCAACATGACAATACTTCCCACAAATTGATTGTATTTTTGTACATTTTTGGGAAAGTAACTACTGTCCAGATTAAAAGCAATGTAATTCTATAATGCAGCTGTTACATGTTATTTTGAGAAGTAAAAATGAATGAGACTTAAGAGAAATAATTAAAATATGCAACTGCAAACATGTCTGTCTCTTTTTGCATGAAAAAACCAAGATTAAAATAAAAGAAATGCGGCAAAAGAGATAATGACAAAGTTGAAATGAAATAAAGTAAAATTAGTGAAAAAATGTTGATAACAACTCATGAGTAGTTAGTTGATTTTAGAAGTGATATGAATCCAAGGCATACATAAACAACAACCAACAAGGCAAACATTCATTCATGTCTATGGCTTTTTCATAAAAATGGAGAAATCTTGAAATGGAGCTGAATCGACCGATGTTTTTCAAGCATTCGCTACTACCACTTATTCGAGTTTTCATCAGATGTATCAACCAGTGTACTAACTTTATCGACAAATAAATGAGTTGCTTGCAGTATGTTTTCATTAACATTCGAATTCTAGAATTATAATATTTTCAGACATCCTAATAAGATTAAACATTAAAACTACTACGCAAGCATTCAATAAAGTTGTCTCAATTTCCATCTATTGCTTAGTTTACTATTGGTTTTCGAACCATCGAATATATAAATTTCAAGAATCATAGAACGATAAATCTAAAAGTAGTTCACGCTGATAAATACATTGATGCCCTAAAAGCAGTAATGGTTTTAAGTTCATTTCTTTTTTAAAAATTTTTGCAGATTCTTAGAAATAAAATGGTGCAAAATATGTATACTCACATAATTCACCGCTGCTTTCAAGATGCTCACTGGCAAAGGTATCCTGGAACCACGAAGAAAACTTTCCAGCTGCCCGGAAGCGGCACAGATTAGGCCAAAAAGTGGAGGACTCGGTTGTAATGGATGTGATAGGTATTCCGGATGAAACTGAACGCCAACAAAGTATGGGTGATCTAAAATGAATTTCTGATAATCAATTGCTGCATTTCGAGCGATGGATACAACGATTGAATTTGTTACAGACTGAAACTAATGAAATATAAAATATACTGAGTGAAATTTACTTAGAGAAGCATAAAAATATGAAGGATATTAAAGAAAAAAGCAAACCTTGCAATTCAAAAATTTCCATACGCACAGATACGCCAATCTCATCATCCCCACTTCCGCAAAAATCTTCAATTTTGGACAATAAAATTTCCTGGAAGATACTGATTATAAACGCTGATCACCGATCTCTTCGTTTGAAAGTTATGCTAATAAACCGAACATCGAAACGTGTCATTCATCAAAACATACTCGTTCAGAGATTTCATACGCTTCTTGCGTACTTTTTTCCTCCACAGTTCTCGACGTTTCACATTCAGCTAATTTCAGTAATGTAGAATATGATGATACGTTCTCATTTATATGTGCTATATTTTTATCTGTCCCCATACCTAAATTACAAAAAAAAATTTTTGTGCACAAAGTTGTTTTACTCTTTTCTTGGCGAATAAAATTCTCGCAGAAAGATTAAACTGATAAGAAATTACCGACAAAGAGTAGACCAGCTCGACTAAGTTTCGGAACAATTCTAGGATTGACTTCATAACGATGCCTATGACGTTCACTGATTTTTTTCGCGTTATATAATTTTCCTAAAATGATAATCCAAACAGAATTTATTAGCATCGTCCTGACAATATAAGAATCCACAGATAAAAAACACAAACTATAAGAAAATGTCAGATTGCAACTTACGTAATTTGCAGTTTTCCGTCAGAAAAACTGTATCTCTCAAGCCAAGACGCATCGTACCACCCATACCTTTCTCGTCACCGTTGTGCTCTGGCATATCAACTACTATCTTAAAACATTAAAACTTCCATCAGCACTCTTCATATGAACGCCTATATGAATGCCTTACACATTTTTAGTAGAAAATACACAAATAAGTCAAACAGAAACAACAAAAAACATTTCATTCTAAATTTAAATTTCCAGGCCGTGAAATTCATTAAAGTATTTCGTTAGGAAAAACTACATTTTCCAATTTTACAAAAGCATTCCCTTAGAAAAAACCCATTTCATCACTATTTCTGTCTAGCCATTTTTGTCCGAAAAGTTATAGTCTACCTGCTGTTCTCCAACAACTGTCTTGTCAAATTCAGTTGAATTAGCACCTTTGATACCACAGACATTTCGCGCAAATTCGATTGCGGCACATTGCATACCGAGACAAATTCCTACCAAATAATTAAATTGCGTGGAAAAGTGCTACAGTAAATCATAAAAATGATGCATTTGGAAATTAAAACATTGAAGGAGAGAAAATGAAGAATGATGTAGTACAAACCTAAGAACGGAATATTGTTCTCTCGCGCATACTTACACGCTGCAATTTTTCCCTTAATACCACGACCACCAAATCCGCCCGGAACTATTACACCTCTAAAATTATAAATTAAATGCTAGATCCGGCTAAAAAATATCGGAACACGGACAAAACTTGCGATCAGGAAGCTTCCAGCAAAACCAGCAATCCACCGTCGCGATAACCGGTCAAGATTGGGCGACGAACTACCAAAAACCTAAACGGCGAGTGAACCAAATGGCATTTCATGTTGACAACATAAGCTTTTTCCGGGTAGTTCGCAATGTAGTTGAGCTATCACCAGAAGATATTTCACTACTAACTGAATAGTCCTGGTTTTACAACAACATTCAAATTTCTAACATAAGTACTGGGATGACACGAGGAACATACATTATTTGCATATATGAAAGCAAACAAAGCTTACTGGCATCGTTTAATCGTCTCCCATGCACAATTATAATCCGAAGTATGTACTGAATCATCCGTTTCTTCGAGATGTTCCGAATGAATATACTGTAAAAAGAATATATGAATATTAAAAAAATGAGAGTCATATCTAAATCATAAGTGTTTGAAGTCATAAGCGCTTGAAGCAAGTGAAAATGTATCTCATAGTTTAACAACACTTCACTCACCTATGAAATAAGTACCTATAGTAATCTGATAATTAGCATTAAAGTCAAGTAATCCATGAATGTATATCAACACATTCTACTGGTATTGATAGCGTTTTGTACTGAAATCATTGACCCATAACTTATTCACTAAAATTCTTTTTCATTCAATGGTTGAGGAAAAATCTAATCAATAGGTAGACTAAATAGAATAATTAGTTAAAAGCTGATGCCTGGCTTCCACAAATCCATTATTCAAGAGGAAAACATGTTATAAATGTCTGGATAGTTTGGTGATTAAAAATTTAGGTACAGAAATGAGTGGTTGACACTCTCGAGCGATTATAGTCTTCCCGAGACAGGAAAAAGTGGAAAGAGGTGAAGTGCAAAGGAGAACAAATACTTCAAACAAAAATCTACCGAAATAACAAGCTGTCGCTTAGCATGAATTGCAGAATGTCGAAGGGCTTTGTTCAATGATGCATATGCATCGGGGACTTGTACGTATTTTCCAACTAATGCAATTCGGACTTCTTCTTGAAAACTGTCGCAACTACAAAATCATCTCAGCTTCAGAAACTTATTTTTCCTATCTTGACATTTACCATCACTTTGTTGTCTCACCATTTTCATTAATTTAATTAAAACCCATCAAAATAAACTCCAGTTATTCAATCTTATTGGAATAAAAAAAGATTAAACTAACAGGTTGGAGAGATGTGTCCACTGGAAAAGATTGGGCTTCAGTATGAGTGTGTCTTCAGCATTTATTGCTGTTAATTTCAATCGTTCAATAATCATTTCCAGCGCATTTTGTTTATGAAGGAGAAGTGGCACTTTGTAAATATTCGAGACGTCGTGCACACCAATTACCTGAAACAGAATGATTAGTATAAGTGAGCTTAATTTTTAATGATAATGAAATGATCTCAGAAAAAAAGCTTTACCTGCTCCAATTCAACCATCCCAAACGCTGCAATTTTTTCACGTAACGCTTTATTTAGTGGCCGCTCACTTCGACACACCAACAAATCTGGAGTCAAACCACCAGCTCGTAAATTACGCATACTATTTTGCATTGGTTTCGTTTTCAACTCGCCTATACTATTTGGTTCCAAAATTACAGAGACATGCACTGCAAACAAAAATCTTAACAAATGATCATTACATTTTATTCTGATTAATTCACAAATTTATGTCGAAATAAATAAATGAAAAAAAACTGATAAATCGACGCAAACCTGTCATTAGCTGATCTTTGAACGCAGGTCTTTGAAATTTTTCAAAAGCAGCAACAAAAGGCATGCTTTCAATATCACCAATGGTACCACCAAGCTAAAACAACTTTTGTTTTTATTTTTTCCTGCTTGCTTTAATAAAAATTTTTGAAAAGAACTTCTAATAGATGCACTATAAGAATTAACTACTTGTAATGCTAACTTCGACAATGCAAACTTGGGGTCGCTGATTCGTACCATCAACCGGTATCGCTGCTACACGCTCTACCCATTCAATGATTGCACTTGTTATATGCGGTATCGTCTGCACCGTTTTGCCCAAATAATCCCCACGTCTTTCACGCTCGATAACCTATAAATGTAAGTCGAATATTTAAAACGAATTCTCCCTGACCATTCTCCAAATTTTTCCCTATATTTTTTTACAGTTGTAAAGTTCTTCACCTACTCCAAAAAGTATCATACTGAAAACAGATGATGATTAGAATATGAAAACCTGCTGATATATCTTGCCCGTCGTAATATTATTATCACGCGTTAAACGAATATTCAGGAATCTTTCGTAGTTACCCAAATCCAAATCGACTTCACCGCCGTCATCCAAAACAAACACTTCACCTATAATAATTTAATTCATTTATTCATTAAGATCAACGTGCAATGATACAATTGATGGCATTCTCTTCCTTCCTCTTCAGAAGTACGGCTGCAGTTAAACCTAACGACATCAACATGATTAGTATCACCAAGATATACTAACTTTTCAATCTCAATTATCCTATCATTTCAGAAACTGCCCTTACCAGCACGCAAATGCGTTATGGATAGATATAACAATGCGTTAGCCTTCTAAACGAGGTTCATGAGATGTCATGAAATTATTTTAATTAGTAAAACTATTCACTAGATTAAGATAATCTTCCAAAATGTCAATACTGCTATTCTTTGGTTTTTCTAGAACTATCTGTGCAATGCATAGCCATCAATTCCGTAACTACTGATAAAAATTTGAAATTTATACCATGTTCGAAAGGTGAAAATGTGCCAGCATCGATGTTAATATATGGATCAATTTTAATAAACGAAACTCGATAACCGTGAGCTTTGAGCAATACACCCAAACTGGATGAGATAATACCTTTACCAACACCACTCATGACACCCCCCGTCACCAATATCATTTTCACGGGTTCTACCATCACTGCATTTAATATGCTCGAAACAAAAACCACTTGAATAAAACTAAAATTGTGATATATATATATCATAAATATGCAAATGTCTATTTTTCGATATTCGATATTTAAAATTCATTTGGAAAAAAAAATCCATTTAAAAAATTACAAATGAATTTATGCACAACAGAGAAAACCCAATAAAAATAATGCACCACTTTGAAACACAGATCTACCAGGATGCTATCTAAATTGTTGTTATTCATGTAGCTTTTTGGACAATTATAAGCATTCTCTAAGCAATTAACAATTTGTCATGGATACATTATTTTGGCTTAAAAGCAATAACAGCTTCATTTTTAGGAAAGAAAAAAAGGAAAAGTTTATTAATACTTTATTCGACAAAATACTATTGTTTATTATATACAATAGAATCAGCACTACACAGAACAATTTGAAAGTATACGGGAAGAAGTAATTCTATAAAGCATGAAAATGGGAGGTAGAAATAACAAATTGATACATAAATGCGAGAAGAGAGAACAGATATTTTGAGACATTACTAAATTTAATTTAAGGGAATATTAATGCATAAACTGTAGTTCCTATCGCCATCCATTCGCTAACTTTCAAATTGTTACTATTTTCTTTTCAAGCATCAAATAATTATTCTTAGGGAATATATTTCCTTTTCTTTGCTAACAATAAGAACTTAATTTTCTGGTTTTTTGTTCTCATCAATCCTATAATTCTCATAGCGTTGATTCCACCCTTTAGTTAAGCACTGCATTAATTCTACGGATGTTTGTTTCTATTCGACTTTTCGCTATTTGCAACATCGTCTATACTTTCCGGGAAATTGAATTTAAATTCAGGCAATGACATGTTGTCCAGCTCCGGAGGACAAGGCGTCGGAACAGAACTGTCGAAATGGGGTCGTAACTCTGCCGGACCAACCGTCCATCCCTCCACTTTTGTCGGCATTTCATTACCGTATAAATCTAACCAAATTTCCGGTCTTGTTTCGTCATAGATAGAATTTCCATGTTTTGCATCAACCTACAATGCTTCACTTAATAAAAAGCAAAAAATTTTGCTGCTGAAATTTTAAAAAAAAGACAAGGGAAAGAATTAAAACTAAACTAGTACATTTGGTAAATTTAAGCAGACCTGCTTGAAAAGGTGCTTAATCATGCTAAATTGAGGGTCCAAACATAAATCCAAATTTATCCGTTTTTCCTCCACTTTAACAATATCACCGTTTTCACATACAGTTCGCTAAAATTTATTCGTAAGATAGTTCAATTTTGCTTAAAAAAATGTAAACTTTCATTGAGGAAAACTTTCAACATTTTAATTAAAATGCCATTCTTTATATAAATTTAAATATGATGGTCATAAAAAAGAAATAAGTTCTGGATGCGCTGAAACGAATCTTCAAAGGTTAATAACATACAAGATATGGAGGAAGTGGCATTGTTTTTGGATATTCAATTGGTTTCATAGGACTATCACATTTTACAAATTCATCTTCCTCGTGTTTGTGGATTAAACGCCAATCTTTCAATAGAGAAAAAACAGATAAAGACATATTAACGGTGAGTTGAACTTATTTGTAATAATTTTAAGATAGTCCTATGATAGTTAAGATAGTCTTAATTTTAAGCAAATTCTAAAAAGAGAAAATAAGCCGAATCAATCATTAGCAATATTTTCTTTTAAAAAAGCGGATTTAATCGTTAGAAAAGGAATTCTTAGAAAAGAACACAGGATTTTCATTCAGACGGACTTCCTATAAGTTATCGCAATAAAAGAGGAATTATCAAAAAAATCATTGTGACATACCTGCGCGTGCCAAATCCGTGCCAAATTCATATACACCTAAATTAATACCTCTAAAGGTCCAATCTGCCCAGAGTTTCCCCCGAAGTAACCAACGATCCATACTTGGACAGGCCTAAAAATCAAATCTAATCAAGAAAACGAATTTCCCACTGCACTGAAAAAAATTACTATTTTACAATTTCCCTTCTTTGCCAACAATTTAGCATCATCAAACAACTATAAAACGGTTAATTAATGGCTAATTAATCGTGATTTCTGATAGAAATTAGTTAACATTATCGAAATACCTTAGCATATCTTCCCCTTAAACAATTTATCCAACTTACCTGAACAATTTTTAAATACGATGGTTGTTTCGGCCATTTCCTTGCCCACTCATTTTTCGTCACAATTCTTCCGATCCCAAGGTTTCGCAATTGACAGAGAATTTCCCAAAGGAATTTCCCTTCTGCATTTATGTCATAATTCCCGATGTAACGTATATTTGGAGGCATTTCTTTACGAAACTTGCAAAAAAAATTACTCCATATTTGCTCTCACTATTATTATTCCGCATGTGTGTAATACGGGTTCATTAGATGTTCACGGGATATATCGTCTGCACGGTTTATAAAATGCAACTAGGAGAGAAAAATGTTGTGCCTCACAAATCATATTCATCAATATAACAGCAAAATAAAGTTCACTATACTTTCAAAGGGAGTGCGCAGTTGCCAAATGGCAAAAGAGAACAAGAAAAAAGGAATTTAAAAAGTGAAAAAATGACTTCAAATGAAAAAATCCACTACTTTAATATAGAATAATAATTATTTTTCATTGTGCAGATCTTAAACAGTAATCTTACTTATTGACAGTATCATTACTGTTGTGTATGTATTGATAACGATCGAGAGAGAAGGATAGAAGATCTAAGGATTAATAAAACGAAAATGAGATAAGTAAAGACACAAAATACTAATAAAAATTAAAAAACAAAAGACTACTCAAAGAAGCAATAATAACTTTGAAAAAATTGAAGAGTTTCAACAAAAATAATACTTTTTTTCAGTAATAAAGATCAAAAGTAATATCAAAGAAATGCATTCAAATATTCTAAAATTGAAAAGACTACTTTAAAAACGTAAAAAGAAGAAGAAGAGAAAGATCTATAAAGCAGACATGAATCACGAAATGCAAACATAATTCCCGGCAATATCTCCGCGACATTTTGTATTGTACAACGACAGGTTTGCATTCAATTTGCGAATCACATTCAGAGAATAATCGTGAATGTTTGAGGTTTTTAAACTTTTTATTGTTGTTGTTTGCTGGATAAGAAATCTGTAGTATACAGTTAACGTATACAGTTTCAAAAAAGTATAGAAAAAGTAACAGTATACAGTTTCAAAAAATAACGCTAATTAGTATTACATACGGGTAATTAAATAAATGAATTTAAATGTATGATTAATTTTCTTAATTTTTTTATATTCCTTGTTAATTAATTAAACGAAAGAAATTATTCGCCATTCAAATTTTGTATTGTTCTTTATTTTAAGCAATAAATTTCTTGTAAACAACTCATTCTCGTTTTTTTATTCCTTGTTTTCTCTGGTTTTGGTGAAGTTATTGCACAATTCATCGTTCACTAATTTCTCATTCAAATTAAAATATCAAAGAAATATTATTAGCATTTTGTCATTCATCCTTTTCTGTCTGTCTTCTTTTATTCTCACTTATATTTCGAGCTATTAATATTTTTTTCTTATTTTGCTCTTTTCCTTCTTGAAATTAAGTAAAATTTTTCATCTCTTGTTGATTTCAATGAATTTTGCATAATTCGTTTGTGAAAAATGCTATTCAAATGGATAGAATTCCTGCCAGATTCTTCTTTCTTTCTTTAGAGAATCAAATACATAATCTTTGTTTTAGTTACATTTCTTTAACAAATTCATATTCATACTGCTTGAAATAACATGTAACTGCTAACTGCACTAATATTTATACTCAAATTATTTATGTAATCTGGAAGTGCCATAATAACAGAAATTTTCATTCAATTAACATATTATCAATTAATTATAACGATGAAAAGCAAAATCGATATATGCATGCACGATTTCTATCGATAAGAAATCTTTTATTCAATTAAAATTTACTTACATTCTATATTGTATTAAATAGTGTGTGGATCGGTTGCTGGAGAGATATTTTTAACTAATAGATTATAATACACGGTGTTTCATATATTTATCAAGCATTTGTTTCTTTGCGTGTTAAACTTAATTAATATTAAATTTATTATTTTGTTTAGCAATTATATGTGGAATGGGTGCAGAGACATCAAAAATCGGTTGTAATCATTATGTACCGTACAAGGATATGGTAAATAATTCGATACATGAAATTAATAATATCGTATATATCAACAAAAAACAATATAGAATAGATGCTTACTTACAAAGTAATGATGAAATTCGACTTAAATTTACCGAAAACTGCTTCATGACGATAAAGTATGAAGATATTTTAATGTCCAGTTATACATGCATCAACCGTAAGTTTTTATCTTCTTTCTTTCTTTCTTTAATTTAAATTTTATTTGAAATTAGAAAGATTCAAACAATATGAAATGTGATCACTTCGCCTTTCAACCATGTCACTTCAGCTAAAAGTTTGTAATGTTTTTTGAAATTTTTGTAAAAATATAATGATTTTATTATGATGTAAGGAGAAGAAATATACTATGATAATGTTAAGTTTGGATAACGAAACCAGCAAATAAGGAACAACTGCATTGCAGCGGAAATAGTAACACGTGCATGGTTTGACGATTGCTCCATACCTCACCATATTTTCAGCCGTTAAATGATTATCCATTCTATCGCTAATAATACAATTGTTAATAACTGTCATGAACTGATGAACTGAGAACAAAATCTGGTACCTTGTACTGATCATAAAAAAGCCGCCCAAAATAGTGACTGAATTTTACTGATCGTATAAGTTATCATTTGGCTTTATCAATTTTGTAAAATTTTTATTTTTCTTAATAGATGAAATTATTTCAGATCTTGTTAATGGGACAAGCAAATGGCAACTTACTTTGACAATTTTTCCTGTTATTAAAAAAAGGCGTCGTCTTCTTAGAAGTTTATTTACTTTCAATTGTGAAGATACGGTGAAGAATGCAAATAAATTCATTATCAGAAAAATTACAGCATCAAGGGCACGTAAGTGCAGTATTTGATTTTATTTTGTTAAGATGAACAAACTTTTCATGATTTTTTAACCTAGGAAAATTTCAAAATTTGTAACAATTCTTAAATATTAAACATTACAAAAAATATTGCAAAGTACTTATTACAGACGGGAAAAGATTACAAAAGAATTATACAACCATAATGATATATATCGGTATACGAGCTCTTCAACAGACATTTGTCTCTATCTAGTGATGTAACAAAATATTTAAAAAGTAACAGATCATTTACCTTAAAGCAATTATCAATTTATCGATTTTTAGCACATCTAACCACCGGTGTAATAAGGCTGCGTCGTCATGTATTGGTTATCGTTAATCCCTTCAGTGGCCAGAAACGTGGATTGAAATTATGGGAAACACATGTTGAACCAATTTTACAAATTGCCAACATTAATTATGACATTGTTAAAACAGGTTTTATTAATTCTTCCTATTTCCGCTGTCTCTTTTTTCTCTGCTATCTAAATTCTTTGAAATCATACAGTTTTTTTATTCGATGAGTGAGTTAGTTAATTTTTATTGGAATTCAATTAAAATTTAAAATTTAATAAACTTTCAAAATTTTTAAGTTCATCGGAAACATGCAATTAAAATAGCAAGACATCTCAAACTTGATAACTACGACGCTGTAGCTGCTATTAGCGGTGATGGATTGATACTGGAATTAATATCAGGTTTTTTGATGCGACAGGATCGCGAGCGAGCACTAAAGATGCCACTAGCTCATATACCCGGTGGTACAAGTAATGGACTTGCAGCCAGCATATGCTTTCAATGCAAGTATGACGTCTTATCAGCATTTTTAAGAAAAATTAATGTCAAAAATTTTTTACTATGTAATCGCTGACTATATGAATTGTTTAACAAATAATTTACATATAATTCAGTTTATATCGTTAATTTCCAGTGAACCATTCCCACCACGTGGAATTTTTTGTACCGAAATGGCTGTGATGTTGGCTCGGCCACGTTATCTTCCATTACGTATTAATCATGTACAAACCGAACATGATGGTAATAAGGCGATGTTCATGTCGCTTACTTGGGGTCTTATTGCTGATATTGGTTCGTTTCACTTCATTTATATTCATTCACTACAAATGATTGTTGTATGCCGTAAATTATTTAATTTTTTTATTTTTGCTTCTAAAGTAAATCAAACTTTAAGATGCTGAATTATGTGTTGTATTTGATTATAACTTCGAAATAATTTGTTGTCTACTACAATTCTTTAACGACAAAATTAATTCACAAAAATTAATAGGCAAATACGCTTAATGGTTTAGCATAGGCTAGACGTTTATTATCGCAAGTCATAAGAGAATTTTCCGTAATAAGAACTATTTACTGCTTTTGGTTGTCATTTTTTGGTATCATCAATTTGGTTATATAGTTCCTCTTTGGTATCATTCGTCGATATGACGTCGATGCATTATTAATAAGAGAATAAGTTTCATTCACTACAAACAAATTACTGCTATATTTAGCGTATTTACATGTGAAATTAATTAGTGTTAATAATTTGAAGATATCGGAAGTGAACGTTTTCGTTGGGCAGGCATGGCACGATTGCATATGGAGGCCTTTCTACGGATTGCAAGTAATTTTTTTTGGTATGGAAGAAAAGACCAGAGACGAGTCGCCGATTTCAACTATTTTAGGATCTTGCTGATTTTTTTGTTTTTTTATTATTTAAACAAACAATGAATAAGTTGGACTTGACACCATCGTTTTCCAGAATTACCGCAAGTTGCTCACTACAAGGGCAGGATTTCATACTTACCAGTTCATGATGATGCTTTGCAGCGGTCAGCTAAGTTATGGTAATTTCATTCGTGTTTTTCGTTTTTTAGCTTTTTTCAGAAAGTTTCACTTCGTTTAAAAACAGTTCCTAGCATAGGTGTAAATTCTGATTTAAACATAGGAATTTATATTTAGACCAAATCTGAATCGTTATTATTTGCTGCCTCCAACTAGGACTCAGTCAGGCTATATATAGTGAAAAGTCCCTAATGTCATATTTATTTTATAAAAGAAAAATTGAATGATTTAAGGAATGATCTGGAACGTGAGAAGTATGCCAAACGTCATTTTGAATATCGGCCCGTTGAAAGTTTCATGGATTCTGAATGCGGCGAAGCAAGTGGTAGCATCAGTAATAGCTTCCCAATTTTTAGAAGCGATGATCTTATGCAAGTATAACATTTCATTCCTGATTAATTGACACATGTTCAGTTGAAATCAACCAGTTCAAATCAACGTGAAAGAAGTGAAATGTAAGGCTATGTATGGTAAATACGAGGATCGAAATTTTTTTAGAGTAACTAAAAAAACTCGAAATTTCATTTCGAATGAAAGCATTTTTCAATGATAAGTGACAATTCAAATCAGCAGATTAAATCGGAATTTGATTAGAAGTGGAAATTTATTGGTTACTAAGAAATGTGGTGTTTCAGGCTTGTTTAAGAGCATTGTTTTTGAATGATGAGCAGTTTATAGCCGAAATTTAGTGTTTCTATATATCTTTTTATCAAATTAAACTTGATATAAATAATAAGAATTTAAATAAAAAAACAAATTAATCATTCTGCAGGTACCTGCTCTTTGTGAACCGGTCGGATCTGACTGGGATATGCTCGAGGGTTATTTCGTTTATGTTTGTTTGACAAGCCTTTCTCATTTAGGTAAATCCTTTCGTATTTCTTCCTTGATATTTTTAGTTTCGCCTACTTTTATAAAATCTTTAGTTCATCTGCATTTCCACCCTTTTTCTATTCTTCTGAAACAAGTTAGTGATCTATTAAATGATTGTTGTTGTGTATTGATTGATGGACCGATTTACCAAACTATCCGAACATCATCTTTAGTAATTAACTAATTTATTATCCAATCAATTGGTGTTTGACCGAAAACATTGAATATGAATTCAATTGATCAAATACCATTTTTTATTGATTAATTATTCATTCACTGATTAGCAAGTTAACAGAGCAATTAGTTTGTCGTTCGAATAACGAATAGGTTGACTGTAGCGTACCAAATCATCACATAGTATTAGGGTATAAACTCACTAGAATCAAATAGATTCGAAATTTAAAATCTAAAACTCATTACACTGTTTACACTGTATAGCCAGTATAGAGCAAAAGAAGAATAAGGAAAGCCAATTGTTAAAAACTTTTTCTTTTATTCGTAATTCAGGAAGTGATGTGCCTTATCTTCCATGTGCTCGTTTGGACGATGACTTCATATATTTGACGTACATCGATTGGAACAACGTTAAGTCACGGTTTGAAGTTGCCAAAATGATGCTTGGAATAAATGATTGCTCACATTTAACTTATTCTTTTTTACAGGTTATTTGAGTTTGTTTGAATTTCACCGTTCAAAAGAGATGTGTTAAATATTTTAAATCATCTTTCTTCTTCCCTTCGTTGTTTACAAGAGCAAGTCGGAGTAATGTTAGGCCGCTTTTTTTTTTGCCCATGTTGAGCTTGCTTTCAATTCCGAAAAAATTTTATAGTGAAGGGTTATAGATAGTTCCAGTTCGAGCTTGCCGTGTAGAGCCATTGGGCAATTGTGGTGGCTACATAGCCATAGACGGTGAACCGATAACTTCTGGATCAGCATTTCAAGTGATACCAACCAAACATTGTGCAACAGTTATTGGACGAAATCAACGCGATAACGCTGTCAATGATTGATAGAATTTTATCGTCTTCTTTTCATTTCAGGGTTACAAATGTTTGATTTCATTATGTTTGAAATTTGAAAAGCTAATATATATTGGAAGTAATCAATTGATTTTATAACTCATTTAACAAATATTTCCACTACATTATATATTTATAAAAATAATTAAAATTTTAATACACTGATTTTTTTCTATACAAGTGTGTAGAAAAAAAATTTGAAAACTAAATTTATGAATGGATATAGAGTCCGAACAAAAGATTTGATATATAAATCAATGATGTCAATGATGATTTATGAGTAATGCGATTTTTCTTCTCGCTAACATCACCTCAATTTTAAGGTGAGAAGATTGAAGCAAAATGAAGTGAAATTATGTAAAAAATATTTATCTTGCACAAAATATTTTTCACAACCAATAACGTAATTAAAATGAAATTATTCATACAAAGATTTAAACAATGGTTGTTATTATTGCATGTGGATTGTCAATAAACTTCAGTTCTTGATTACATGTGAATTGTTAATACACTTCAGTTTGCCACTCCCAACTGAAATAGAATTTATTGAATGAAATTTATGGGACAGTATGATTCAACTATTTCCTCAAAAATTGTAAAGAACGGTATAAATACTTATTCTGTTTGCTACTACAATATGAATGTGTTGAAAACTAGTCGTTTTTCAAGGTTTCGCGTGAATTAAATTTTGGAACTTACGCAGTTTGTGCAAAATTTGTTTTGGAAAGGCTTACTGCCGAACTTTATAAATACTAATTCTATTTACTACTATAATCTGTTCATATTGTAGTAACAAATAGAATAAGGAAGTTGGGCTTGTCGTTTGATTAAAAGATAATGATATTGTACTAGCAATGAATGCGCACTGATCTTCTTTTTTCAATGCTTATATATTCAGAAAAGTATTTAATGGACGGAGTTTCTTCTCCAAGTGATTGTTAAGCAGCGATCGATACTATTTCTGATAGACAGCCGTCCGTTCGCTGTTGAAGTCAAATGGTTCTTAGAATTATATGCATTTTATCCATTTCTTTTTCTTATTCTTCTTCCACAATATAACGTTGAAATATTTTGAAGATTTAAAAAATGTTAACGCATTGTGACGTGAAAGATTTCATATAATTTGAGGAAGCGCAAACAGAGCCGTTGGATTTATCAATGCCAAAAATGATAAGAAATGGCTTTTTANTTTCTTATCATTTTTGGCATTGATAAATCCAACGGCTCTGTTTGCGCTTCCTCAAATTATATGAAATCTTTCACGTCACAATGCGTTAACATTTTTTAAATCTTCAAAATATTTCAACGTTATATTGCGGAAAAAGAATAAGAAAAAGAAATGGATAAAATGCATATAATTCTAAGAACCATTCGACTTCAGAAATAGCACCGATCGATAATTAACAATCACTTGGAGAAGAAACTCCGTCCATTAAATACTTTTCTGAATATATAAGCATTGAAAAAAGAGGATGGGTGCGCATTCATTGCTAGTACAATATCAACATCTTTTAATTAAAACGACAAGCATAACTTTCTCCGCTTCAAAGTTCGCAACAAGTCTTTCCAAAACAAAGTTTGCATAAACTGCATAGCTATAAATTATCAAAAGTTTTCAATACGTTCATATTATAATAGAAAATAGAATAGAATAAGTATTTTGTTTCGTTCTTTAAAATTCTTGGCAGTCGCAGTAAAAACTCTCCCATAAATTTCGTTCAATAAATTCTAAAGAACAGAAAATAGAAAGGAAAACAATACTGAAATGTACGTCAATGATTGATCAAATGTCTGTAATTCGATATGAATAACGACACCTGAAATAGCGGGCACATTTAATTTCAAAAAATTTCAAATGTGTCGTTTTCTGCATATGGACTTTAAACTTTATGAAATATTAGGACTGGAAGAAGCGCGACTTTTTATATTCACTTTGTAACGTATCCATCAGTCCGTTTATAACGGATTTTTGATCGAACAAATTGGGACAGAATTTTTTAGAAAAGCCTGGTCAAAACTTCCACATACTGCCTCAATCAGCTTTATTGACATTGTGGTGACACTTTACTAGAGGGATTAGGATGAATAGAAGTGATGATTTCTCATGATTCCAATAATTTTCAGAACTGCAACGTTAATAATGTCTCATGCGAAAGGCGCTATCTATCAGGCTTACTTTGACATAGTCCTCTTACTTTGCAAATCAGGCACTACTGTGGGCATAGCGGACATCATCCGATGCAGGATGATTCCTCGATATAAATCATTGTTCATATGAATTCCACAGCGAATTTTTTTCATTTATTAGTGAACTGAAGATCTTGTTTCTGGAAATCTGGTAGGAATAGGCACTTTCTGTTGTAGAAATCGGTACTTTCTGTACTCAGTTTGAGTTGTGTAAATATTTTTATAACAAAACAGTGAACGGAAAGATAACTTCAGTTACCGGATTTCAATCTCTTTTTTGAGTTACTTGCCTAATCAGCTCAATTTTCATGCCAATTACCATATACATTGAATTATAGGAATTGATTGTTCGTTAATTAATTTTTGGTTTTTGAACTTTTCTTTTTCCAATGCTACAAATTTTATCAATTAAATTTTCAGCCTTCTGGAAATTTTTAGAGAAGCACTGCATCGTCGTATCCGAAGATTGTCTGTGATGCTATTCGACTTTTTTTCCTCACTAATACTGAATTTGTCATTTATTAATTATTTGATTTGCTAATATTTTGTAATGAATTCAAAAATAAACGGAAAAATTAAAAGTAAAAAAAAAGTAGAAAAATGAAAAACAAAAAGGTAGGGAAGAGAAAATTAAAAGAATAAAAGGAAAAAATTAAAATAAGAAAAATAAATTAACTGTCAACAACGCGGCCTCTTTACTTCTTTATGATTTGTTGTTGTTATTGTTGTTATCAAGCTTTCCCTTTTTACTATAATTTTTTGTAGTATTGCTTCCTGTTGTTACGAATTTCAGTAGTTGTCACTAATAATTTTAATTGGTTGCGTTTATTATATCTTTAATTATTAAACTTCGCATTTTTATTTTTTTTAAGATTTGGTTTTCTGAGCTTTTCGGACGAGATTTTAATATGCTAAAAATTATATGCTTTTGCTTGAATTACCGTTATTCTTCTGCTTATATTATTTTTATTGTTTGTGCTGCAATTACAAGCTATGTCTATTGGTATTATAGTGGTTAATAGATAATAGCGCTTATTAATTATTTACTTAATGTGTTTCTCTTATTGTAATTAATAGTTTTTAATAGGTACTATCTATTTAACTGAATTTTCCTTGATTTTAGCTTAGTAAATTTAGTTTGTTTTTTTGTCGTTTTTCTCATATGATTTAATTAGGAGAAATTTGCATTTTATGATTTAACAGTTTAGATTTGAAATAATTCTCTTGTAACTTTTTTTAGCCAATATTTAAGAATATTTTAATGTTTTATTTGCTTAAAGTTGAAATTTTATTATAATTTTGTTTTTCATCTTCATTTCAACCAAATTTCAATATTTTTATTAAAGCAATTCTTTTATTTTGTACGGTAATATAATATTTTTTAAGTAAGTAATGAATGATCTTTGTTACTTTTAGAAATGACCTCTGTAATTTTCACACTTTGATTGATACTTCTTTTCTTATCATTGATTTTTTCGTGTAATATTTATGGATGCTATATTTAGGGATATGTTATTCATTTGAATATATAATATTTTATATGACATATGGATGGTATAAATTAGATGTTCTGTATTTCTTTTTTCATTTTTCAAGATCTTATTTTATTTTTTTAATTATACAACTTTTACAATTTATTCATAAAGTTGAATTTTCCTTTGGAATAATAAGAAAAGTTTTGTTTGTTTAAAAATTAAACGATTTGATTGAATTCTTTTTTGTTAGCCAATTTCTTTTTGATTTAATTTTATAATCGTTGTTCTAAGAGAGTTTCAATTTTCTTTTTCTCTCAATTTCTTATATTATTATCTTTCAACAAAATTCATTTGTTTCAACAAATTTTTCTGTTTTTACTGACAGAATTAGCTAACAAAAACTTTCATGCATTTATTCTTCTCGTATTTATTACCCTAAAATTATTGCTTTAAATTGTTTTGGTAAATTTTTACAATTATACTATTATATTTGATTGTAATTCATCACTGCAATATCGATGGTTATATTTTTTTTATAATTTCTATGATAAATTATTGCAGAAAGTTAGGGTTTTAGCAAATTATAATTCTTTTGCTTTTCTGCTAATAAGGATAAGAAGTGAAAATTTTAAACCATTCCTATTACTGCTATATTTGAGTCATTTTAAATGGGAATTGCTATTACCAGCAATTTCTAATAGATAATCTATGCTGCTCAGTGAATCGTCATGATCCTTCCGATTTTCATTCATGTTGGAAACACCGATTGCATAAGAAACATACGGCTGCGTAAAATCTTCTTATAGAGTAGAAATATAAGGAAATTTTGCTTTCGTTTGACAAGATTGCCGGTGTTGGTTGCGGAATGGGTGGGAAGTGTTTTTGCTTTCCTTTTTTAATGTTGGGAGGGTTTGAGAGATTTAATTGAACAGCACAATACACTAACATGACAGTTTTATCTGATACTTGAAAGTATTATTACGTTTTCTGGAATTTTTTAAAGTGTTGAAATTGAAATTCGTTTTATCAAGATTTTGAGATTATGATTATTTCTCATATTACGGTAATTGCACAGGATGAGATAGCGATTATTGCTGAAGATAATTTTAAGATTGCATTATTGCTCTGATTACGACTGTTGCTCAAAATAAAATTTTTGAGTTGAAGTTATATTATTGGATGGGTTCTACTTTTTCTTTAGGCAGCGTAACTTTAATTGTTGGCAACCTTAATTGTAATTATTTTTAATAAAAGCGTCATACTATTATTATTGTAACTGTTGCACTTTGAACATGTAAAATAATTTTTACGAGCGAAAATTTATTTCAG